TCTCATCACTTCCTCATGTTACTTTGCCTTTGAAAAGTGGCCTGCGCATTGCGTCACTGCTCATTTGGGCCATTTTGTCCCTAACAGTCAGGTTCAACTGAATGTTTATCCATTTAAACCACTTTGTTCCTGATAGCCGGCCATTACTCTTCGGCTTAATTTTTAAATCAAAGTAACCATCGTATCAGCTGTTCCATAGATGCTTTTCCTACAAATTTATAATTCATTTAGATCATTCCCTTAAAAACTGATCTGAGGCTACTGATACCCGAAAGTACGGAGATCCCGTACAGTCATCAACCCTGGTCCACTAGAAACCATCTTGTCCTATAAATTGGTCACTAACTACTTCTTTCACGACTTCAGAGCTGACATGGATGAACATCTCCAGTGGTCATTCGCCGAAACCCCAACACCCTTGGCAACTCCAACTTCCACGCATCTCTGGAACAAAATTCCGAAAACAAATGGAGGGGAAAATGGAAGGTGAACGACACATATCTAGTTGAAAACGCTCAACGATTGTAAATCGCCTGTCTCCAGTCTACATAGGTGGACCCGGGACGGACTCCTGGGGGCGGGGAGGACGGAGATGAGGGAGAGCCCCCTCGCACCCTGGAACTATGCAGAAATCATCGGCGACGCGCACGGGCGGGCCCGTGCGAACATGCGTTTTTACAGCGTTTCGTGCTGTAATGAAATAGCTTGGAAACCCAGTAGCTAGAAATGTGTGGCAAACTGGTACTGGGATTTCGGGAAGTTAATTGACTATGTTGTACTTGGGTAGGGAACATTTCCTAAAAGTCTCAGCCTCCCAGCTTCTCTGGTTCCTCAGTTAACCATTTTCCCACTAAAAATTTTCACGGGGTCGTACATGAGAACCACGCGCATCGAGTGACTGAATTTGATAATTTTAAGTTGCACATGGGCTGAGAATAGCCCCTTAAAATTTCAGCCTCCCAGTTGTCCTGGATCCCAAGTTAGCAATTTTCCCGCAGGAACCCTCACGAGGCCGCACACGGGAAGCGTGCATACCTCGGAGCTGAATCTGAAATCTTTGAGTTCCATTTGGACAGGAAACATAACCTCAAAATTTCAGCTTTCTAGCTGTTCTAATTCCCGATTTAGCGATTTTCCCGCCAAGACTTTCAAGCGCTCATATACGCAGTCTGGACGTGTGTGAGGGCTGGTACCGCGGCCCTAGATGGCACTTAGCTGAGGAACCCACCCGCAAAATTTTGGCGCCGAAATTGCTTATGTGCCAAGTTTAAATACCCGGACAGACCGCGCGCATACACGCATACATGCACACATATACGCACGTGTACACACAGACACCGGTGCCGTCACAATATGCGTTTTCGCACTTGCATATATACAAAAACGCACAACTAGGAATAGAACTGTAACAGTACTACTTAGAGTTGCTTTAGTTTTATCATGCCTTTTGTGCTGTGTAACAGCAGTACAAAAGGCATATTGTCACAGGGTTGTCTGTGTGTGCGTGTGTCTGCAACAACTTGCCCGCAACTGTTAACTTAGGAACCACAAAAGCCAGGGAGCTGAAAATTTAGGGGAATGTTCCCCACCCACGTGTAACCCCGCAAATTTAAATTTAGTCTTCTACTGCCCGCGGGTAACACGTACGGCCCCGTATAAAATCTCGAAAACTTAGGAGGAAGTAGGGGAGGGGGGAGAAAAAGGGGTGGGGGGAGAATTATTATCTCGGGAACTACCGAATCCAGGAAGCTGAAATTTTAGGGTAATGACCCCTGCCCATGTACGACTTTGCACATTCAAATCCAGCATTCCCGCGCTCTCGGGTACCACCTACGCCCCGTCATAATTTTGGCGAGTAAATTATTATCTCGGAAACCGCGAAATCTAGGAAGCCGAGGTACCTCCTGACCCTGTACGATCTTGCAAATTCAAATTCAGCGTTCCCGCGCGCCCAGGTATCACAAACAGCTCTGTGAAAGTTTCAGCGGGGAAAATTATTATTTTGGGAACCACGAAAATTGGGAATCTGAAATTTTAGGGTGATGTTTCCTATCAACGTGCGACCCCCACAAATTTGGATTCAGCCTTTACGCACCCCTTGGCGAGAAAAATCATTGTCTTGGGAGTCAGCTAGGGAGCTAAAAATTTCAGAAGATCATTTCCTGCCGAAGCAGGGGCTTAGCAAACTCGAATTCAGTTCCTGAGTATGCCGAGGTCTCAAGTACGACCACGTGAAAGTTTTGTCTCAAAGATCGTTCAAAAGCCAAAAAATTAGAAGATTGAAGTTTTGCAAAGATATTCACCCTTCGAGGTTTCACGTGCCGATGCGTGAAATTTTTAACTATTTTCCAACATTTCAACTATTTTTGCACAGACCAAAGTGCAAAGCAGTGAAAATCATTAAGAAGCAATCGTTCGGTGGACGGGATTGCACAAAACGCATGATCACACCGGCTATTCTAGTGCGTGCTGCTATTTATTTATGAACAAACCCAGGCTTTTGCAGCACTGGTGCCTGTGCTCTCTCCCACCCACCCTCCCCTCTCCGTGGATTCGCCTGTGCCAGTCCAGACCCTGTTGTCTATTTTTTGCGCAGTGTCTTCGACCTGGCCAGCTAGTCGGTCCTTGCAGAAATGCTTGGACGCCCGGATCACTCAGGTTCGAAGTTATTTCGAGAAACGTTAACTTCGAATATTTCAAGCGTCGCTAACACTCTGCAGTGGCGTGCAGCAGATAGTTAAGCTGTCTGCGAGAGATGTTAATGGAGGACGCTACGGCGTAAGGAATGGCGTTGAATCGACACTCTGACAGTATCTACAATGTAGAAAATTGACAACGACTGACTCGGGAAAGCTTGAATAACTCAGTGGGAACGTAGTGCTTTGGGATGAAGCCGCAGCAGTTGGGTGCCCGTAGTCTGCGGAATAACTCCTCAAAGACGCGCAATGGCTGAAAGAAGACGACCATTCAGACACACGGGCCGACTGACAGAAATTTGCAAATCTCTTGACAAAAGTTTTCAAATGTTCGAATTACTAATCACCTGTCGGAGAAATTCAGTTGCCATGCCGGCCATTCCAGTCCGCTGCAGCCCAAATGCTTCACACTATCAACATGCCAGTCATTCCTCCCTCCTTCGCTTTCCCCCTTTTATTACCGTCAAGTGCAGTTATGACCTCATCAGTCAACGGGTGTTTACGAGGAGAACTTGGCCTGTATTTTATTGAATATTAAACATGCAAGTAAGGAACGTATTTGAACAATGTAATCATCTGGATGGCACTGCAGCGACTGTTTGGGCCGGACCGACTTGCTCATGCACCGGTCAGGATAAGTCCAGCAAATGATGTTCTGTAACAGGCTCGGACTCCAAGCTACAATTTTTTCCATCATCTGCCTCGTTTATTCGACCACTTGTATTGTACTGGCGAGCGATCTGAATGAAAAATGCGCTATCACCTTCGCATGTTTCATCATACCAACCTAGGCTGGAATGCACCAGACTTGCCAGTGTGACTATGCTTTTTTGCACCACAGTTGAGGTATCAGGTTGTTTGTTGTTTTACACCTACCTTTTGCGATCACTAGCATAAATCTTCGTAAATTTTGCATAAAGAAAATGAATGATTTCCATTTAACGGTCGTTCTTTGAAAATGACGTCAATGATTTAGTGAGCAATTTTCCCGCCAAAACGTTCAAGTGCCCGTACATGAGAACCACACATACCTGGAGGTAGAATTTGAGTTATTTTAGGTGTACTTGGACGGGGAATATACCCTAAAATTTCAGCCTTCCAGCTTTTCTGGCTGCCGAGTTAGTAATTTTCCCAACAAGAACTTCACTTGCCGGCATATGAGAACTACGCTGTCTACGGGCTGAATTTAAAATCTTTGGCTCACACATGCACAGAGAATATCCCTCCAAAGTTTCAGCTCTCTATCCTGTCTGGTGTCCAAGATCCTCCCTCCCCCCCCCCCCCCAAAAAATTTG